ATGTTAAAAAAATTGTATTTCTGATTAACCTGTAACAGATTTAAGCGTAGATGGATTCAGGCGAAGTGTTTCCACATTTTCTTCCTGTGTCAGATTATAATGCGCTCGATAGCCATCCTTATTGCCAACATATTCAATTTCCAATTTTAGTAGATGTTTCTTATCCGTTGGCAATGGTAATAATTGTATCTGTTGTCCTTTGATCACCAAATCCTTGTCATCTTCCAGAGATACGGTTTCTTCCCTCAAACCACGACGTATAAAGACACTAGAAATAGAAATAAAATTAAATATTAATTTAACAATATTTTGGGCGGAAGATGTACCTGTATTCTCTTAGAACCGCAGGTTCTGCTGATGGTAGCATCAATGCTATGGCCAGCAATATAAAGACAAAAAGGGTCTGAAATATGACCCAAAAATATGGAAATTTTATAATTTGAATTTTTTTAATTTAAACATTGTGCCCTACCTCCAACTTCATTGTTTTGAAATCGTTCGTTAACAGAATGCAACTGATTTGTGTTCGAATATAATTTTTGCAAGCACCTTCTTTATTTTCGAATATATATGTATGACATATATTCAAAATACTGGTTAATAATACTGGTTTTCTATTAGTTAATATTATGGAATTTATGTTCGTCTTCTGCTTTTTTGTTTTTGTCAATTATATTTGCTTGCTAATTATTCTTTAGCGGTATTCTGCAGCAATTTTTATGCGTTTTTTTGAACTGCACGTGCCTACATTTATGGTCCAATGTTTTGAGTGACAAAATATTAAGATATTCTGTTATGATGTAAAATAGGTTTTTATAAGAACTCAAACATACCATTATAAATTATTTTGCTTATTTTCCATCAGAGATATAATCGTGGGTTATATGAGAAGTTTCAATATTTTAAGGAATATCGAAGCTAAATGCATCTTTATCGGAACTATAAAAATTATCCGTAGATATGGATTTTCAAATAGAATATTTTTCAAACTTAAATTAATATTTCGAAAGAGAATTCCTTATTATTCTTTAAAAATTTTTTATTAGTTTTATTAGTTTTTGTAATAGTTTATAATAGTAATTCATGTTTTTGTTTTTCTATCCGAACATCAAGGTGGTCAATGCTGTATGGTGAAATGAAATTTTTTTCTGTACTTAAAGTATTTGTTTTTTTTTTTAATCTATCATCGAAGAAGAAATATTGCTAAAATACCGGTTTTTATTAACAATGTTTTGTGGAGAAATTGCGTTGCGGATTTTTTCTCCCGTTTTATTATCGAAATGCTGTGGTTAAACCCCAAATGTGTTTGAACATCGCGATATTCATTTCAAGCATAGATTACGTTTGAATATATAGGTCCACATTTTCTGGTATCTCCCGCACAACATGAACAACATTGCGTAACAAAAACAAATCAAAAGAGAGTATTTGATTCTGTCTATCCAGGACAAACTAGTTCAAATGGACTATTCTACAAATGAAACGATCGGTACTAGATTCGATTCTTTCGTTCATTTAGTTATTCCGCAAAAGGAACGATCGGTGATGAATCCGGTTTCTTGCTCCCGTTCACTATGTTAATATAACTCCAGTGGTTAATTTGTGCTTCAGTTCATTTTACTGCAATCATTCATTTAGATTTTTTTGTTATTTTAGTTCCACTAGCTCCATCAGTTCATTTAAAATAAGATGTGACAAAGTCCATAATATCAATGTGATTGGTTACCGGAACAGTTTTTCACAAATCCACCTAAGCTACTGCAATTATTTTCAATATTTTATAACCTGATCTATTGCGCTGTTTAATGAATAAGAATAGGAAACGCTAACAACTGATTTTTTCTTGGTATCTTCCATACAACGCTAACGTTGTACGAAAACGCTACCGACTGATTTTTTTCCTGGTATCTTTCATACAATGCTGTACAAAATTGTTTAACAACAAATCAAAAGGGTGTTCAAAAGAACTTTTCTGCAAAAGGAACGATCGGCACTAGGTTCGACTTTTTAGTTCATTTAGTTATTCCGCAATAGGAATGATTGGTAAGGAAACCTGTCTCTTACTCCCGTTCACTTAGTTAATTTAAATGCAGTCGTTCATTTTAGTTCCAGTTCATTTTACTCCAATCATTCATTTAGATCGTCTCGTTCATTTAGTCCTACCAGCTCGTATAGTTCCATAAGTTTATTTAACATTAGTTGTGACAAGGTCTATAGTAAGAAAATAAGATTGGTTACCAAACAGTTTCACATAAGGTATTGCTAATATTTACAATATTCTATCTAATAATCTAATCTATTTCATATTTTACTAAATAAAAGTAGGAAAGACGAACGATTTTTGCTTCAGTTCATATGGTTCATTTTACTCCAAACGTTCATTTAGATCTTTCTTCTAGTCCCACCAGCTCACATAGTTCCATAAATTCCATAGTATCAAAATGAGATTACTTACCGCATTAGTTTTTCAAAAATTTATACCAAATTCTGCGCATGAATATTTTCATGGTGTGAACCAATGAATGATTGAATTAAATGCAACTCAATGAATTACCAAGTTCCATTTTGTGTAGCGAACCAAGAAATGAATCCAACCACTTCAGCAACGATTGTTATTTGTAATGAAATTCATTCAAAATTTAGACGTTAGATTATGCAGACTCTGTTCATCGTGTGGCTGCTTGCCACATAGCTACTTTAAACTTGAGTTTAAGACCTTTGAGTCCCGAATCTGACCAATGATTACGAAAATGAACGAATTGATTTTATGTAACCTGTTCCGCGTTTCAGGTTTAATTGATGAACTCGATGTTTGGTTATTTAATCGACTTATGGATGGATCGATGTGGAAGGTAACCTCTTTCCCTCCAGATTTATTGATACAATCGAAACACAATTTTTGTCATTGAACATTCTGGATTGTTTGGAACTTTACCATTTTCTATTAAGCATAATGCCTGCATAATTTTTCAGTGATTCTCATCCTGCTTGCAAAATCATTCACTTAAGGGGACCCCCCATTCTCGGGGTCAAAATTTTTGTTGATATAATTCGAATTTACACTGTATAGCTCTCGTATGAACTAGGATAAAGCCAATCGGTGAAGATCTTCCTTTTTTTAAACTTGGTTTTTGGTAAAAAATCGGCGATTTTCCAAAAATATTTTTTCAAAGGTCCATCATTTTGTTAATTTTAGAGCGAAGTCAATAATCCTAGTTCATACGAGAGCCAGACATGTACTCTTTCTAACACCGTTGGAATTTTCGGATTCCGATGTTCCAGTGAGGAGTTATCATGCCCGCCATCAAAAATAAGGACTTTTCTTCAATTACAAAAAACAACAACAAAACAATAACAAAAAATTTTTGTAAATTATTTTTCTTCTCTTTTAAATCTTCAAATATATATGTGCAAAGTTACAAACCTTAACAAGCATTGGTATTGATTTACCAGCCCATTGAAATTCTTGAAAAATTAAAATCGAGAATGGGTGGGGTTCCCTTAAATTACTTTCAAATGATCACTGCCCTTACAAAGAAAAATTCAAATAAAAAAAAATAATAATAAAAAATAAAAATATCATGATTTAATCACAAAATGTTTAAACTAAAATTTCATTCCAATATTAAAGGGGATTACGAATTTTTTGAATGATCATATTTTCATTTCATTTTATTAATGTAGACATTTTACTGCATTAATGAATGTTAGTCATATTATTTATGCATTCATGAAAGTTCTTTTCTTGCATTAATGAATGTTTTTCATTGCATTAAATAATATTTTTCGTGCCATTAATGAAGATGTTTCATTGTATCAATGAATTTTTTTCACACCATTGATGATTAAGTTTCATTAAATTTTTCATTGCATTCATGAAAAACATGAATTTCATAAACGAATGTTTGTCATTTTTTTAATGTAGACGTTTCATTGCATTAATGAAGACGTTTCGTTGCATTAATAAATAAGTTTCGTTGCATTAATGTATTATTTTCATTGTATCAATGAAGAAATTTCATTATATTCATTATATAATTTCGTTAATTTTACATTAATGAAACTCAATGAAACTTTTTCCATTAATTCAATGAAGAAGTTGGTTCAAAATCCATGAGAAATTTCATTGATGAAACCTAAGAACCCATAGGGGAACTTATTTCAGAATATTTGGACCTCAAATTAAGTTAAAAGGGTTTATAATGCACCTATAAAATATTAATGTCATAAGAATTTAAATTTGAATGAAAAGGGATAGTTACCATAATGGTACCCAAAGGTGAATTCAACATAAATGTATCACAGTCTATTTGTTTCAAACACTTTTAATGGTTTTGAAATCTCAAACGGATTATTTATAAAAATATTTTATAAAAATGTATAATATTTAGAATAAGTTAATCATTAATTTTATTTACTAAACCAACACAAAATAAAAACTTATTCTTCCTTCTCCTTATTTGTTTAATTATTGAAATAAATACATACAACTAAAAAATCGTTTACATTTTTACTATATCATAAAAATGTCATACATAATTGTGTTTGTGGCCATTGAAAAAATAATAAATACAAAAATATTGAATGGAAATGCAGATAAAAAACTCATTGGAAAACTTTTTCATTTTTCGAAAGAAGAAAAAAAAATCTAAGAAATGAAATTAATGATTGGAGAGGGGATAATAAAGTTTAAAAAATTTTAAATTCTTAATATTTTATTTATTTCTTTTAAATAAAATATTAACAATTTAAAGCAATAAATAAAAAAATTAAGAAAAAAGAAAATGCTTTGCTTTTTTTAACTGACACTCCCCTCTTCAACATGTTTTCGTTTTTTTCTTTCTTTATATTTGCAGAGCGGAAAATAGAAAAAGTTTGAAATTGAAATGAGTTTTTGAACAAAGAAAAGAGAAAAAACTAACAACAACAAAAAACTACGGTGGTGGCAATTTTTTTAAATAAAGATACCTTGTTTTTGAAAAGAATCTCAAATACAAAGCCGTCAAATTGAGGTCCTGCATTGGTGGTGGTGATAAAAAACGAAAAATGGGTGCCAATGTCTCGCAGCTGGAAAAGGAAATCGGTTCCGATCTCTTTCCACCGAATGAACATTATTTTGGCCTGGTGAATTTCGGCAATACCTGTTACAGCAATTCCGTGCTGCAGGCCTTGTATTTTTGTAAACCCTTTCGCGATAAGGTCTTGGAATATAAGGCAAAGAATAAACGACCCAAAGAGACGTTGCTCTCCTGCTTGGCAGATCTCTTTTATAATATTGCCACGCAAAAGAAAAAGGTCGGCTCCATTGCCCCCAAGAAGTTTATTGCCCGCCTGCGCAAGGAGAAGGAAGAATTCGATAATTATATGCAACAAGATGCTCATGAATTTCTCAATTTTCTAATCAATCACATTAATGAGATAATACTGGCCGAACGTAATGCCAGCAAGAATGGCAGCGGTGGTGGTGGTACGGCAACGTCTGGTACGGCTGCCACAAAATCCTCATCGACCACCTCAACATCAACAACCGTTTCCAATTCCTCAACCAACGGGACCTGCTCAAATTCCACGGGCTCAATAAATGGCATTGGCATAGGGATATCGGATGCCACCACTCCCACTCAGGGTGGTGGGGGTAATCCGGCTAACAGTGAACCAACCTGGGTCCATGAAATATTCCAGGGCACCCTGACCTCAGAGACGCGTTGCCTCAACTGTGAAACTGTCAGCAGCAAGGATGAACATTTCTTCGATCTGCAGGTTGATGTCGATCAAAATACCTCAATAACCCATTGCCTGAGATGCTTCAGTAACACCGAGACCCTATGTTCGGACAACAAATTCAAGTGTGACAATTGCTGTAGCTATCAGGAGGCTCAAAAGCGTATGCGTGTGAAAAAATTGCCAATGATTTTGGCCCTCCACCTGAAACGCTTTAAATATATGGAACAATTTAATCGTCATATTAAAGTATCACACCGTGTGGTGTTCCCATTGGAATTGCGGCTATTTAATACCTCAGATGATGCGGTGAACCCTGATCGTTTATATGACTTGATGGCTGTCGTCATTCATTGTGGTTCTGGACCAAATCGTGGCCATTACATTAGTATTGTTAAAAGTCATGGCCTATGGCTACTGTTCGATGATGATATGGTTGATAAAATCGAAGCCTCAACTATAGAAGATTTTTATGGTCTCACATCGGATATACAGAAATCATCGGAAACTGGTTATATTTTGTTTTATCAGTCGAGGGATTGTAATGCTTAAAAGAAAAATTAAAATAAAAAATAGTAGAAATGAAAAAAATTATAACCATATTCACATATACAAACACATGTAAAAGTCATGAAAATTCAAATCAAATTATTTTGTAATTTTTTGCTAAAGATGTCTGCAAACTACCCTCCCCCATATGAATGACAGCCCCTACACCTTTTTCAAATGTGATTCAAAACATTTCAATTGCAAATCGAGAATTAAGTTTTGTAATTCGAAAAATCAATTTGCAAATTAAAATTTCAGCCGTAATTCAATAATGTTATTCATAATTTACAAAAATTCATTTGTAATTCCAAACTTTTCGTATGAAATTCAAAAACATTCATTTGAAATTTAAACAATTTCATTCGAAATTCGTATATTTCCATTTGAAATTCGTAGAGTTTCATTTGAATTTTAAAGAAATTAATTTACTATCCAAGGAATTCGATTTGATATTCATTACATTTCAGTTGTAATTCATTTCATTTGATGTTTCATTTGAAATTCAAATAAATTAATTTACCATTCAAAACATTCAATTTGAAATTCATAACACTCTACTTCTAATTCATAATATTTCAATTGTAATTCGTAACAATTCATTTCAAATACATACATATTCTTTGTGTGCACCCAATAAAATGTTTCGAATTTAAAATTAAAATGTTATGAATAACAAATGAAATGTTATGTATATGAAATGAAATGTTCTGTATATCAAATGAAATGTTATAAATTCTAAGTGCAAACCATTGAATTTCAAATGCAATCCTTTGAATTTCAAATGCAATCCTTTGAATTTCAAATGCAATCATTTGAATTTCAAATGCAATCATTTGAACTTCAAATGCAGTCATTTGAATTTCAAATGCAATCATTTGAATTTCAAATGGATATACTTCCTTTATACTTTAAATGGAATTCTATGAATTTCGAAAGGTATTCTATGAATTACAAATGGGATTCTCGAATTACATTTCATATGTTTTGAATAACACAGGAAAAAAGTGTAAAATGAAAAAATATTTAAATTAAAAAATAACCTCTATACACAACAATATTTTAATATTTCATTTAAATTACTTATAAACATATTATATTATTAAAAAAATAATTTATAAAATATTTATATTAAAAATTATTATATTAAAAATATATTTTTTTAAATATTTAAAAAACTTCAGTTAATTTAAAAATATAAAGCGGTCAAATATTGGATGTCATTCATGTTTCCTACAGATCCTAAATATCCTATAGTCAATATAGTCCTTGAATTGTCTATTATCAAGTCTATGGTCCCTGCGATCAATTTATATAATTTTATGTAATTTAAAATAATTGAATTTGTCATAAAACCATTTTTAAGTTGACTTAGTCTTTGGTCAAAATTATCGCATTTGAGTGGAGGATATAAAAATGTTCACCGGAGTAAATAAAGTATATGTTCTCATGCAATGCTATTTCTCCTGACTTTTTTCAAATTACAAAATATTTAACCGGTTTAATTTATTTAATATTATATTATATATTATGTTTTGAATTATCGAACATCATAAATATAAAATATTGGAATTACTAATAATTATGAAGAATTTAAAATCAGCATTTAGTCGCACATATTGCATCAAGTACAGCTGTAAACGTCTTTAAAATAATAAAAAAATTAAATAAATACAAATTAAAAACATAACCAAAATTGTTGTTTATTTTCGAGAATAATTTTGAAACATAAGTAATTGATACAGTTTGAGCAATGTATGTATGTGTGTATGTATTTTTAAATTTAATAAATTCACCTACTTACGTAGCTGGGTTGTGACATTTGTTCCATAGGCCGAGCTTAAAAACCATTTCAAGGCGCGTCGGTCTTATACGCAGCTCCTTCAATTTGAAAGATCATGTTCCGAGATGTTGTCTTCCGCTTTATCTTTTCATCGTATTCATGATCATCCACTTCTGAATCTTCGTTCGGTATAATATGACTCCAAGAGGTCCTTTCCGATTTTAACTGCTGACTTTTATAGAACTTTATATGCCGACTTTTATTGGACTTTATAGTTGGCAATTGTCTCCTTTTTTGTGCACGGGACACAGGATGCTGATGTTCCAATCATTGGGCATTCCTCTAGCCAAAATGTACTAATCAGCTGGTGCATGCTCCTGACCAGTATCGACCATTGGCTCTAAATAGTTCGGCTATAGTTAAGTTTTTCCATGTTGTACATGTACCTCACTTAGAATGTAAGTAAAAATTCTTATAATCATCAGGAAGCCACTATTTTTTTCCAAAAAATGTGAAAATTTCCCCCACTACACTCTAATATACTACTATTTGCGCTGATTTTTCCATTCTCTCTATTTGGCTTTGACAAAAACAAATGTATTCCTCTTAGATAAAAACACCACCACAAATACCATTCATTGTTCGGCTGAGTTTTGTTTTGGTATCATTCTTCGCGTCTCCCCCAACTGTTCCACTCACTCGATTGTGACTAGTTTTGCATTCCATTGTTTCTTTACTCTTACCGACCTCTGTATTGGTGTTACAAAATTCGCATATATATTTTCCAAATTATTTCGATATAAATGTCAAATACAATATAGGTTTCAGTGGCGTTTTTCAGCCTAATTAGCTCTAATTTGATAACAAAAAATTCCTATAGGTGCATGCTTCAGGGTAGCCTCCGTAGAAAGTCTCTCCATGATATGATTTTTGAGGATTTTGAGCATTTTTACGGCTAAGTTGGCTCCAACTTGATATTTTGAATACTTAATGGGTAGAAAATCTCTCCAAAAAGTATCAGTATTTTATTTCATGTTTCCGGGTAGCTCTTATAGAGCTGTAACACCCTTATTCATTATTTTGTGGGCTACGGAGACGCCTTTCAATCTAATTGACTATAATTTTATATTTTGGGCTTTAATGTGGATTAAAATCTTACCACTAACAGTTATAATATCGGACCATATTTGGTATAGTTCCTATATAACTGTAACATCCCATTTTCGGTAAATTAAAGATGTTAAACTCATTTTCCCAACAGAGTTACGGCAATTTAGCATTGTGGTATTTTATAGGTAATTCAATGTCTATCTAGCCATGTTAAAATTGTGGTCCCATAAAATACAAATGTTGAGATGAGGGGATAATATACCAATATATTTAAAATTTCAATATTTAGTGGAATTTGAAAACGTTTAACGAAATTGGTTTTTCATTGAATAAAAAGTATCTCTACCAAAAATGACCGATGTTCCGTGGTATCCCCATATTGCGGTATCTTCCATTATTCGTAAATTTGGTGAGTTTTGGAACAATTTGGTATATTGCGTTTTTATTTGGTGCCAAATCTTGCAACGGGAAGTTATCCATATCAGCCCTCCTTCATGTCTAGTTTAGTGTAGCCCTCATATAACGATACCCCCAAAGTTCAGTATTTTGATTATTTCAGACATGTTTTTAAACCGAATTTTCTCGCCATAGGTACATATTCCGACTAAGGTCACTTCACTTCTTCACAGTACTATTCCAATATACGAGGGCAATTCGGAAACTTCTTAGCCTAGCACAAAAAGCGCGGTATAAACTGAAAACAAGTTAAGTGTTTTGGAAACTTCCATCTCTGTTATGGACACGTGTTAAATCTGGAAAGCATTTTACCTCAAATGAAAATGCAATTATAGTTGTAAACCTCTATTTTGAAGTCCTTGAGGAAAACTATTTTAATCAAGGGATAGAATTGCTAGAAAAGCGTTGAACTAACTGTATTGAAGTTTCAGGAGATGATATTGAAAAATAAAAAAAAATGTCTGATAACCTGACAATTCTCTTTCATTGATAGGCTAAGAAGTTTTCGAACCGCGCATGTACATAAAACAACACTTGACGGATTTTTCTTGTACTTGAACGTATATATCTCAAATGTTCGCCTAAAAGTATGCATCACACATTAAAACATAAATGCTGAGCTATAGTCCACAATATCGGTGAAATTTTCAGTTGATGGGAATTTCAAATAGAAAAAATATTCCCATTTTCCGATTGATTTTTCATGGACTTGGACATATATTTCTGAACCAGGTATATAATTGCTAGAAAAGCGTTGGACTAAGTGTATTGATGTTTCAGGAGATTATATTGAAAAAAAAAATATATTTTCGAAAACCTGACAATTTTTTTTTCATTGATAAACTAAAAAGTTTCCGAATCGCTCACGTACATAAAAACTTCGTTTCATCGCCTAATTTATAAATATTGAAAATTTTGACCATTTGTGGGGGAGGTACCAGAAGGAGTGGACCAATGGGTCCCATCTTCAAACTTGATTTAGGCTTGGTAAAGATAATAGGTTGTGCAAAGTTTCGTTAAAATCAGATAGTCTGTTTGCATGTTATTATGAAATTAATTTTTTGCATAATTTTGACCTTTTTATGGGGAAGGAGTGGACCAATGGGTCACTGATAATGATAAATAAAAAATCTCCCTTACGAGAAGGTCGGCTAAAACTCTCTAAAAAATGGGATTTATTATGAAGTCTCCACATAAAATTGTTAGAAAACAGTTTGCTTAAATTTCGGTGATGACGTTTTCATACAATTTTTCCCCTGCGGACATTCTTTTCATATATCGACGTCACATTTTCTCAATATCTGAGTGATTTTGCTTCTATTGGAACGTATATTTGTTAACTGATTGCCTAAAAGTGTGCATCATACAACAACAAAACTATATTCCATAATATTGAAATTTTTAGTTAATGTAGATAGAAAAATATAGTATATTTTATTCACGGACTTGGACTTATATTTGTGAACCTTTATTCCAATATCTGAGTGGACTTTCCATGTACTTGAACGTATATTTCCTAATTGTTCGCCTAAAAGTATGCATCATACATAAAAACGCAACAGTAAAATTATATTTTGCAATATCTGTGAACTTTTTCGTTTATGGGAATTTTCTATGTAGAAAACATTTATATATTCCCGATTTTCCGATTGATTTTTTT